TCTGACAGACCTCACGGACGAACCTCACGGACCTCGCGGACGGACCTCACGGACGGACCTCACGGACGGACCTGACGGATGGACCTCACAGAATTCACGGACGAACCTCACGGACCTCACGGGCGGACCTCACGGACGAACTTCACGGATGGACCTCACGGACGGACCTCACGGATGGACCTCACGGACGAACCTCACGGACTGACCTGACAGAATTCACGGACGAACCTCACGGACCTCACGGGCGGACCTCACGGACGAACTTCACGGATGGACCTCACGGACGGACCTCACGGATGGACCTCACGGACGAACCTCACGGACTGACCTGACGGACGGAACTGACAAACCTAACGGACGGAACTGACAGACCTCACGGACGGACCTGACGGACGGAACTGACAAACCTCACGGATGGAACTGACAGACCTTACGGACGCACCTCACTGACCTCACGGACAGAATCTGGCGAATGGACCTCACGGACGGACCTGGCGGATGGACCCTCCCAAACGGACCTCCCCGATAGACCTCCACGGACGAATCTCACGGGCCTCCCGGACGAACCTGGCGGATGGACCTCACGGACGGACCTCACGGACCAACTTCACGGATGGACCTCACGGACGGACCTCACGGACGAACCTGGCGGATGGACCTCACGAACGGACCTCACGGATAGACCTCACGGACGAATCTCACGGACCTCACGGACGGACCTGGCGGATGGACCTCACGGTTGGACCTCACGGACAGACCTCACGGACGGACCTGACGGATGGACCTCACAGACCTCACGGACGAACCTCACGGACCTCACGGGCGGACCTCACGGACGAACTTCACGGACGGACCTCACGGACCTCACGGACGGACCTCACGGACCTCACGGACGGACCTCACGGACGAATCTCACGGACGGACCTCACGGATGGACCTCACGGACGGACCTCACGGATGGACCTCACGGACGAACCTCACGGACTGACCTGACGGACGGAACTGACAAACCTCACGGATGGAACTGACAGACCTTACGGACGCACCTCACTGACCTCACGGACAGAATCTGGCGGATGGACCTCACGGACGGACCTGGCGGATGGACCTCACGAACGAATCTCACGGATAGACCTCTCGGACGAATCTCACGGGCCTCACGGGCGGACCTCACGGACGAACTTCACGGACGGACCTCACGGACCTCACGGACGGACCTCACGGACGAATCTCACGGACGGACCTCACGGATGGACCTCACGGACGGACCTCACGGATGGACCTCACGGACGAACCTCACGGACTGACCTGACGGACGGAACTGACAAACCTAACGGACGGAACTGACAGACCTCACGGACGGACCTGACGGACGGAACTGACAAACCTCACGGATGGAACTGACAGACCTTACGGACGCACCTCACTGACCTCACGGACAGAATCTGGCGGATGGACCTCACGAACGGACCTCACGGATAGACCTCACGGACGAATCTCACGGGCCTCACGGGCGGACCTCACGGACGAACTTCACGGACGGACCTCACGGACCTCACGGACGGACCTCACGGACGAACCTCACGGACCTCACGGGCGGACCTCACGGACGAACTTCACGGACGGACCTCACGGACCTCACGGACGGACCTCACGGACGGACCTCACGGATGGACCTCACGGACGGACCTCACGGATGGACCTCACGGACGGACCTCACGGATAGACCTCACGGACGAATCTCACGGACCTCACGGACGGACCTGGCGGATGGACCTCACGGTTGGACCTCACGGACGGACCTCACGGACGGACCTGACGGATGGACCTCACAGACCTCACGGACGAACCTCACGGACCTCACGGGCGGACCTCACGGACGAACTTCACGGACGGACCTCACGGACCTCACGGACGGACCTCAAGGACGAATCTCACGGACGGACCTCACGGATGGACCTCACGGACGGACCTCACGGATGGACCTCACGGACGGATCCGATGGACGAACCTCGCGGATGGACCAGGTTACAACCGATTGGAACTACAGTAATTCTGGACCCCGAGAGCATCTAAACAGCACTTCGACATCGCATCGGAGCTACTCAACCAGCCGGAGGTGGATATCGTTTTTGAAGATGTGGATAAATTGGATTTTGTTTTTAAACTTTTTAGCTTAAAAAAGGAATCTGAAATTTTCAGGCATGACAACAACCCCCGATCCTGATAACAACGACGATGACCTGGAAGGGATGTTCAACTTTTGAGATATCGTCAAATGTGATAAATACTTTGCTAGCTTTCATATTTTGTTGTGATAACTGATTTTGCCTGTGATTAATTAGGTGTCCTATGTTGATTTTCTTAATTTTCTTCTTGATTTTTATAGTCGTTCCATAGTTGTTTTGTTTTATATTTTGGTTAATACAAGATCTGTTTTATCGTAATATAATGTCGAGCATTGGGAGAAAATATATACAAGTGAGATAAGCTATTTGACATGGTTAGTATTTAAATTATATTTTTCAGACTTCCATCTCGGAGATCAACTGCTCCATCCTCTCTTTTGACTCGTTTTCTTTCATCTCCAACCGTTCCAACTTCTTTCTTCTCTCCTCGATTTCCAATCTCAGCTGGAATCTCTTTCTTTCCGAATCCAGCTGTTCTTTGTAGGATTTTTGAATTTTCTCCAAACGAATTCTCATAATTTCTTTCTTCGCCTCAAAATACTCGTCTTGAACTCGATCGAACATCTCCGGAATAGAATTTCTCGATTTTTGAACCTTCTGAAGCTCGAAAATCGTCTTCTCAGACTTGACACGTTGCTCAGCAGCGAATTTCAAACGGAGCTCTAGAAAACGGATTTCCGCTTTTTTGTAAGCAACTTGAATCACTTTTTGCTCGATTTTCGTCAGTTCACTAATCGAATTACTCTTCAGAAATTTCAAGCGATCATGATACGCTCCATCGCTTTCCGCATATGATTTTTCCATTTCTTTTTGAGATGCAGCCATTTCAGATTTCAAAAGATTCTGAAAATCTTCTTCTGCAAAGAAGATAGTCTTGACGACTTCTGGATCGAATGTTGGAAGTTTGAATTCTTCGGAAATGTCGAAAATATCGAGAGTTTCTTCTTGAATACTTTCATGAGAGACATTTTTCGTTTTGTTGAGCGAATCGTCCGAATCTTCGACAACATCCATATATGATGACGGTCTGAAAATTTCGAATTTCTGATTTTCCCACCGAAACAGTATTTAAAACTTACGTTCCTTCCGAACTGACAGTCTCGAACGCTTTCTCTTTCGTTGGAGTCGCAGCAATCATACTTCCAGTTGTAGGATCGTAAATTCTTAAAAATTCCGAAAATTTGCGGCTTTTACTCGTTTTACTCACTGAACTTCTTTCATCTTATCAAAATGAACATGTCGATTCTCATCGTGCGGAAACGAGTCATCTGGGTTCTTGAGAATTGAGTGGTTGTGCTCCGAAAACATTTTTCGTATGGGAAAACTGGAAGAAAGCGAGCAAAAAGCAAAAAAAAAATTTTTTTGCTTCGAAGCTGACTGAATTTTGGAAGCTTTGAGTTCCCGCGCCCGCCGTAGGTCGCACTTGCATTATCATTTTTGCGGTTTTTCAAACTTAAAAACAGTTTTTTTAAATGAAACGAAACCTTTATTAAATACCAACAAACATAATTTAACCAATTAAAACGAAACCCGGATAAAAACGGAAATGTGTATTTAATAACTACTATTTATTATGGCAACAAGAAATCATCAATTTTCAGCTTTCTTCTTTCGAATCATTTCTGCTAGCTGCTTGAACCGAACCATCACTTGTTTCTTGGTTTTTGTACCAATCTCCTCTGATATCCGCTCCCATCTGAAAATTTCGAAAAAAAAGATAAGAATCTTAATTCTTTGAATACCTCTCATCGGTTCCTTTCGGATATTTCTGAAGTGCCAACTCGAATGCTTTTTGCTCCGACTGCGACCAATCGTCTTCCGATTTCTCTTCCGATGGAACCGATTGTTGAATAGAAGACATCAGAAGTTTCGTGTAGTCCTCTTGCTTCATTTGCTTCATTTTTCCAGCCATCGCAATCACATCTTCCGGCGTTCTATTCAGTACTCGTCCCATTTGTTCCCATCGATTCGGTGTGCCAGCTGGATACTTTTCAGTGCTCAATCGGACTAAATGAGCCAGTTCGTCTGGTGTCCAAGAGCTTCCGGATTGTTCTGTAAAACTTTTGAAAACTACATTAACTGGAAAGAATTCCACTTACTTTGCGAAACAACTTCATTTTCTGCCGCGTATTTCTTTTCCATTTCCGGGTCATTCGTGGATACTGCCTTCAATCCCTGAGCCACTTCGAATTTGAATTCTGGTTGCTGGGGTGCTGCAGCTGCTCTTTGTTGTCTTCTTTGTTGTGCCAGCTCCTCTTCTGTCGGTCCCTCATCTATTTCCTCTGGTTTCGCCATTGTATCCTTCGCGGTCAAAAACAAATTCTTGCATAAAGTGACTGTTCCTTTTGCCAGAATAATCGGAAGTAATTCAGAATACTTCGGTATATAATCCACCAATGCCTCCTTCATCTGCTTCTCGATCTCTGCCGGATCTTCCTTTTTTCCTTTTCTTGACTTTTTGAAATTCTGTTTATAAACCAATGTCTTCTCGAAATAGGCGGCCCACATCATGAGATAATGAGCAATCGTTCCAATGAACAAAAGAACCAGAATACCTTCGTACCATGTCAACTTTCGCATTCGTCTATAATAATACAATGGTTGTCTCCATGACGGCAGACCATTCTCCAGAATATTATCGTATTTCTCTCGAAGCTCCGTTGTCTTCAACACTTCATAAATTCCAGCCACTTGTCGGAATTTATCCGTTGCATCTGGAGCTGAATTCCGATCCGGATGCCATTCAAGTGTCAGTTTTCGATACGCTTTCTTGACTTGATTCGATGTGGCCTCTCGTGGAATATCAAACCATTCGTAGAAATTCACACCTACTTCTTCCACCAAATCGTACAATGCGAGATCTTCGCTGGTCCATTGGCAATTGATTAGAGGGATGAATATGGGGAGGAGGTGGAGGAAAGTAACCCGCATTCTGAACTGTACAATCGCGATTTTTAAAAAGTTTAATATTTCAATTAACCCAGGGATGTTCGGAGCGGAATTCCGACCATTTTCGGAGGGGTCAAGCTTTTGGAATTGGACTTTTTGAACACTCTCAATTCCTCTATTTGCAAGATTAATGACAGCTCCAACTGGAGTGGTGGAAGGAGTTTCGAAGAAGACGGTTATCTGAAAAATAAATATTTAATTTTTGCAAAAGTAAAACTTTAATTACCAAATGATCGGAAATCGAGTCATCGATATTTGCAGTTGTAATTTGATTGTTCATCTTCTGAATCCGTCCCAATGTCTTGTGAATATGGGGTTTTCTTTGCTGGAACGTAGCTTTGTCTGAGAACCAAGCTACACCGACGACATGGATGCCACCAGGGAGCATTCGGAGCAG